GGCATGCGCCACAGAATCTCTACCATCAGCTCCTATGAATAATTGCTACAAATCACCAAATATTTAGGGGTCTTGGGTGCAGGTCTTGGATGGCTGAGAAGTTAGGTATTTTTTTCAGGCTTGGCAACATCGTTTTGAAGATCTCACCCCACTGTCGGATGGCTCGAAGCTAAGTGCTAGGCAGACTGGCATCTTTCCAAACTCCAGCATGCAGGGAGACTTCCTACCCTGGACCTCAGTACTTCCCGCAGCCTGGCTTTCCTGCCTTAGGAAATAGAAAAACCAGCAGCTTTGCTGATGCTTGGAGGGTAAACAAGAAATCTGTGAGCTTGGCCGAGGGTGTCAACAGCGAGCATCTGAGCCTGGGTAAATCAGAAACATGACACATGGTCTCAGGTCTGGTTGGTGGAAGACCCCCGGGGTCCAGTGAAGCTGTCTGAGACTGCAGATGACGCCAGAGGGCCACAGCAGGGCACTGATCCCCTCCCATGGAGGTGGCACTCATGATGGGGGCTCCACAGCTTCTTTACTGCTGCCACAGCTTACCCTGTGACCAGTCCAAGTACATTTATGGCCAGAGTCACTGTGCTTGAAGGACGGAGAATGACGGACAGTTCCTACAGACCCAGGCTGTGACTCATTGAGTTGGGCCTTCTGGGAAGAACAGAATGAAGCCGGAGCTGGGGAAGCTGGCCTGAGGGCTCGGCTTGCTCACTCCAAGTTGATTCCAAGGCGGTGTTCCCCATACGGATGGCCTGGCTCAGAGTTCTGAGTGCCCTTGCTGTACAACACCTTAATCCAGCCTAAAAAAGTCAGGTGCCAGAAATGTGTATTTAAAGTAAAACACCAATGTGCGTCAAGAAAAATACTTTAAATGTTGCTGTCCATTTACAACAAGAGCTTGCTGGTGCCCAAGCTGCTGGACAGCATAATGTCTGCCCACTCAAATGTTTCTGATGCCTTCGGCCCCCGGGTGCGTGTGTGTAAAGACAGCTTACTTTTGTCCGAGTTCAGAGATCTCCAGACCTGTCCATCTCAGAAATCATTGTCGTTCCCCCCTTAGATGGGGCAGGTCCTAAACACTGTAGTTTTACTTTCTTCTTTGCAAGGATTAGATTCACAATAGCCTCGCTCACTTGGCCTTTCCCTGTGGTGTGGGCCAAGTTCAGCAGCCGGCCACTTCCTGTGGGAGCCCCGCCCCTTCTGCGGGCAGTCCTCTCCTCTGTGGAGCCTCTCCCCTTCGGTGGGATTCCCCCCGTGGTGGGAACCCCCCCACCTGTGAGAGTCCCCTTCTGTGGGAAGGATTTCCCCCTCGGCCCCCTCCCTTTGGCGCTGACCTTGCCTGGCCGCCCGCCTTCCTCAGGGTAGACTTCCCCTGTCCCGAGCTGTCCCGGCCCTTTCCCTGGGCAGGCCAGGCCTCCTCCCTGCTCTGCTCCCTCCACACAGAACGGCCCCGCTGTGTGCTGGGACACCAGCTCTGTGGCCTGGCCAGGTCCAGGGCGCTTTTGTCTGCAGGAAGGATGTTGCCAGCCTGGCTCTTTCCAGATATTTCTGGAATACAGAGCTTAGTGATAGTGGTCCTGTCCCTAGCAGTGGATGGATGACCCATCATTCACAGTCCTTCCACAGGAATGTAGAGAAGGAAGAGAGGCTGCCTGAGGAAATGGCAGCGTCGCCTGGGGTGTGGAGGAGGAGGGATAAAGCCAAACCCCGAGGTGACAAAGGTGAACTGCAATGGAGGCAGCTTCCCCAGGGTAGCCCAGCCTAGAGGGTGCTCCTTGGTCTGTAGGCCTCTGTGTCCTCATCTCTAAGACAGGTCTGTGTGTCTGAGCATAGTCCTGAGATGTGGGCTCAGGTAGCCCTGAACTAGCACAACGAATCTAATGTGGTTCGCTCTCCTTCCTCTTTTGGGAGGATGTTGCCCTTCATGATAAGAGCCGGAAGCTTCTAGCTTGGGGAAGGATGTGGCGCAAACTTTTTGCTGGCCAACTTCACTGCCCTATCCCAGACACTGCCTTCCCCTCCCCCACCCCAGTTCTTCACGGTGCTTCCTTCACGGGAGGAAGGCTTCGCTCCACATTTCAGTTACCATCTGCATCAGAGCCCAGGCTAAGGAGATGGCCACAGGGTACCGGTTTACTTTAGAGAACACTCTAATTCTGCACTTTGAGGAAGCCATAGCATTGTGTGATCATGGGTGACCCACATGCCAATCACACATTCCCAGCTCTGTGCAGCATCTAGCCATCATGTACTCTCCGCCTCTCCTGATGCATCTATCTATCTATCTATCTATCTATCTATCTATCTATCTATCTATCTATCATGTAGTTGGCATGGTTCAGAGTACTCTTGCTCTGTTTGAAAACATTATATCAATGTTTGATTTTAATTTATTGTTTGTGCTGGATTGGGGTTTTGTCAGCGGCTCATTCTGTGAATAAAGGATGTTGACAACGTTCCTGGCCTCCCAGATCCACACCTCCCCATGGCTTTCCTGTGTTCGACTCAGCTGCTGCATCCCCTGCAGCACAGCTCCAGAAGCTCCTGTGTCACACTGAGCTTTATGTCACGGTGCATTTGGGGACAGCTTTGAGCATCTCCGTCCGACCTTCTGAGACAGCAGAGGGCATGTCTGTTCCTGGCCCCGGGCCAACCCCACAGGTCACTCTCACCAGCATTTTCTATGTGTTACTGTGGAGCAAATGGTGTGGGCATGTACAGTAAGTTATTCTTCGAAAGCGCAGAACACATCCTGGGCAGACCCCACCTCCTGCCCAGCACTCACAGCCCTTAGGTCCACGCTTGGGGTCTATGTTGTATGCGGTTTTGAGGCACCGGTAATGCCCGGGCCTTATATATTGGTTAGCAGATTGTCTCCTCGTCATTTCAAATAGCTTCCCTACTAGATGATGAGACATTGTTCCATGTATCTTTTAAATTTCATTTACAGTACTTCATTTTTAGTGAGTATACATATTACTGAGTTTGTATAGTTTAAGCCTGTATCTTTGTCTATGACTTACTAGCTCGAATAGCTTTTCTGAGGATTCTTTGTTATTTTCTATGTAGACTGAAATTTTTTTTCTTTCTAACTCCCATGTCTTTTATTTCTTTTTCTTGCCTTATCACATTGGCTAGGATTGCCAATACGAGGTGGTTAAATATGAGTGTTAAGAGCAGATATCATTGCTTTGTTCCCAGCATTAGAGGATAATCATTCCGTCTTCTAGCATTAAAAATAATGTTAGACGTGTGGTTGTGTGTGCCTAGGATGGCAGCTACTAGGGAGGTAGAGGTTGAAAAGGTGATGAAGGAGGATAGTGAGTTTGAAGCCAGCTCAGGCAAAGACTTAAATATAACCCATCTCTATCAGTAAGCTGGGCATAGTGGTGAGTGCTTATCATCCCAGCTATGTGAGAGGTATCATTAGGAGGATCATTGTCTGAGGTCAGCCCTGGTTACCTCCTCACCAAATGAAGACCTTACCTGAAACGTAACTAACCAAAAATGGCTGGAGGCATGGGTTCAAGTGGTAAAGCACTGGCCTAGCAAGCATGAGACCCTGAGTTCAAACCACAGTATTAAAACAATAATATTAGCTAAGGATTTGGCCAAGTCTATTTAAAATTCTGTAATAACCAGAGCTGTTTCTTCTTCTTTGGCTTCAAACCCACATCCATGAGTCAAGTGTTTCATTTATAACCACAAAACAATTTATAGCTACTTGTTATGATTTCTTACTGTAGGGCCTTTATTACAAGCCTTGCCCGGACTCAGATAACAAGGAGTCTGTTTTGGTAGAACACGTGTGCTCCATCAGCTATTTTAAAATAGTGACAATGGCAACATGATTTTCCTTCTGGGTTTGTGCAGTGACACTGAGCGAGTCTCCATCTTCAGGTTGATGGAAGCTGACAGCCCTCCTGTGAGCCAATGAACTATTCTCTCCCCAGCCAGGACAGAAGAGCCGTGTTGTGTTCATCACCTGCAAGGAGCAGATCCGCTGGTCTGCAGGGCTAGGGAGGCTCCTTTGGTCCATAGAGAGACCGATGGTAGCACCGTCTGCAGCATGGAAGGGCCTAGGGACATTATGAGAACACTCAGTTCTTGTGGTGAAATGGAAGCCATGGGTGGCAGGCCCATTTCTGTGAAATGTCCACAACAGGGAAGTTCATAGATAGAGATGGAGGAAGGAGATGGGTGGCTGCCAGAGAAGAGGAGAGGTGGGGCTGGGGAGCTCAGAAGATAGGAGGCTCAGAAGATAGGGTTACTTTTCAAATGACAACCAGTGAATGGAGCATTGGAGACAGGAGTGTTTCACAGCATGCAAATTGTGTGTTAATGAGATACAATTTGTTCATAAATGTATGCTTTTTAAATTTTTTTTTATTTTTTGCCAGTCCTGAGACTTGAACTCAGGGCCTGGGTGCTGTCTCTGAGCCTCTTTGTGCTCGAGGCTAGCGCTCTACCACTTGAGCCACTACGCCACTTCCAGCTCTTTTGAGCAGTTTACTGGAGATAAGAGTCACACAGGGACTTTTTTGCCTGGGATGGCTTCAAACCTCGATCCTTAGATCTCAGCCTCCTGAGTAGCTAGGAGTACAGGTGTGAACCACTGGCACCTGGCAACACAGGCTTCTTAAGGAAAAGAACCTGGGAGTTAAAAGTATGGTCAGGTTGGACCGCGGTGCAGGAGCTGGGTCTGCAAGGGTGATGGGCTGAGGGGTGATTTTGCAGGAAGGAAGCTGTGTTCGCTTCATGAAGAGCACTTGTCTGCTGGAAAGTGTTGGGGTTGGATGGTGAGCACTCAATCAGCCACCCCACTACAAACTGACAGAAGGTACAGGAGGCCGAAGATTAGAACACGGTTGGAAGCCAATGGTTACCGCTGAAAGAAGCTGCCATGTCAGAAACAGACATGCGCACAAGGGCTGGTGGCATGGGCAGGGATGAGCACCCGAAAACTAACGCTTTCCTTCTTTTCTTCTCTTTTTCAGACGATAGCCCTTGTTTCACTTTGGTGAGTACAAAACTTTCTAAAATTTATTTCTGATGTCTAGTTCACGCGATTGTTTTGTTTTTCAAATGTGGGATTTAATTGCTAGAGAAGGCGTGTCTTGCTGAAGAAGAAGGTCTGGTGGATGGAAGGAGACGGTGGCGCCTTGTGCCTTACCTGGGTTGGACAGGTTCACAGCACACGCTTGTCTCCTCTTTATCATCTGGCTCAGCTGCTCAGTATTGTTGAGACACACTGTCCGCGGGCTTCCCTTTCTCTGATTTGTGGTTTCTTTCACAAGGACCCTCCTTATCTCCGTGACACACATTTGAGGCCTACGAGGTCTCCCGGAGGTGCAAAGTTGTACAGGTGATAATAGCTTCGTAAGTAGGTGTGCAGTGGGGAAAGCTGCTGGACAGGAGCCTTTCTGAATCTCACTCTTGCTTTTTGGGATCCAGGCAGTGGCAAATGTCCATTGCTTTGATGTCCTTAGAAGAAGACAACTTTAAACACAGTAGCCTTTTCGGTGATCTACTTAATCATCTTCATGCTATTAAGTTTCCTAAAAAAAAAAAAAAATCGAGGGAAGTAAGTCTAAGGGGCTACAGGGTGGGCACAGAGAACATGCAGAAAGTTCTATGTGTCCTTTGTCGTTTGTAAATACCCCGCACTGGCAACTAAGAAGCTGTACAGGTTTTCAGTATTCCACGGCTATGTTAAAGTCGGTGGATGGGTTCATATGTCCAGGGCTGGCCCTGTCCTCTAGGCAAGGAGCCTTCTGGGGTGCTATTCTGTCTAGGCATCAAAGCCTGCAGTTCTCTTGGGGTGATTGAAGGTGTTTTCACTGCATGGTTATTTCTCTTATGTTGATAAGCTTTGTTGAATATAATTGTCGATCTGTGAAGCAAAAGACAAAGAAGCCTCCCTTTGCTACTCGCTAAGCAAGTTTTAGCCTCCATGTTCTTGTGCATCATCCTGAGTGTCATCGATTCTCAGTGGCACACTCGGCCTGCACAGATGTCAATGGAAGATCGTTGCTCAAATAATAATTATGGGACCAAACTTGAATGAGAAGTCTGCAATCCCTGTTGCCTTCCCATCCTGTTGCCAGAGGGGTTGGCTCGCCCCTTGTTGGCCTCAGTGCATTCTGCACATGATGTTTATTGGAAGTGGTGGGTTGCAGTTTTGCGGACGTGCCGGGTATGCTGGAATGGAGAATTTTGAGAGTCAGACCTTGGGGTTTCATTTTCCCAAATACAGGGTACAGGTGCAGGTTTGTTACCTGTGTGTTCCTTGGCTCTCCACCCAGTGCTGGCCACTTCCACACGAGCCTTCTGCCCATTCTGGGACCTCCCAACCTTCGGGCCTGTTGACTGGTCTGCCTGCTGATGTAGCCGGTGCCCCCTGGCTGAGGGGGCCTGCCAGAGGTGCTTTCTGGGCTCTTCATCTCTCCAGCTCTGTCTCAGACCTGGGGAGATGTTCAGAAGCTGGTGTCCGGCTTCGAGGTTGCAAGCGCACCTGCGTGCCCCAGTCTCCACCATGCCAACGCAGTGCCGGTAGCATTTCCATGGCGCCTCTCGTCCCAGCCTTTGCCTCTATTTTAGTTCCTGGTTTCAAAGTGCTTCTGGTTTTAGAGGTCTTCCTCTTGGACTGAGGAGTGTGTACTTGGGGGCCGGGCCTCCGACTTGCTGCATGCACTTAGAATCTGCCCACTGGGCCACTTCCCTTACTGGGCATCGAGCATCTTGTGTTTTCATTGCTCGGCATTTGAGACTCAGCCCAGAGCTTCAGGGTTTCAATGGACAGAGACAAATTTGTTCCTAACTTCTGGGATTAGAAACTGGAGTGAGTCAGAATTAAATCAACAGTGCTCCCTGGCAGAGCAGGGAGCTCCCTGCGATTGGAGAGCGTCACACTTCCATGCACACCTGGCGTCAGAGGAGCCTGATGGCTGCTGGATACACTTACACAAGTGTGCCTCCTTGCTTGCCCTCTGCCCATCTTTCTCTGGGATTGTGACACTGAAGTGAAAAGTGAGAAGGTCAGAATTTTCTTTTTTTATTGTGAAAATTCCGTACAGAGGGGTTACAATTACATGGGAAAGATAATGAATACATTTCTTATCAAGCACTGTTGCCTCCTCCTTTGTTTCCCCTTCCCATCCCTTCCCATCCACACCCCCCCTTTCCCCCCTACCTGATCCTCTCCCCCCCAAAAGTTGTAAAGTTCGTTTTTCTCTTTTTTTTTTTGTCGGTTGTGGGGCTTGAACTCTGGGCCTGGGCGCTGTCCCTGAGCTCTTCAGCTCAAGGCATGCGCTCTACCACTTGAGTCACAGCGCCACTTCGGGTTTCTAGTGGTTTATTGGATATAAGAGTCTCACGGACTTTCCTGCCCGGGCTGGCTTTGAACCGAGATCCTTAGATCTCAGCCTCCTGAGTAGCTAGGATTACAGGCATGAGCCACTGGCGCCCGGCTTAAAGTTCGTTTTTCGACATAACAACTTGTACATCTCATTGCTGCAATGGGTCCACCTGTATCCCTATTTAAACGATTTGTTTTTTCCCTTCCCCTCCACAAATTATACCATCATCAAATACAGTGAAAGCAGGGTTTATACTGTGGGGGAGGGACATACAAAGCAACAAAGAAATCATCTTATAAATGTGTTAGAAACAATCGCATGAAAGAAAAAAAACATTTGAATACATATCTTGGGGTTCATTTCCCTCACATCAACTTATCTGACGAGAAGGTCAGACTTTAATAAATGCCAGCTATTGCGACTTGCTGTCCATTAACATCATCACAGAATGAAGGCAATTGTTTCCAACTGTCTCTTCTTTCAAGAGACTCTTGGCTGGTGGCTGCGGTAGCGCTCCCTTTACTTCCAATAATCCTTGCTTTTCCATCAAACACACTCGACGCTAATATGTGATATATGTGCCTTTCAAAAGCCACGTTAACATTTTCCCTGTTGAATTGGACCAAGGCAAGCCTTTTCCAGCAGCGATGCTCATTCTGACATTTCCCTTTCACTTTTCTTGTTTGCATTTGACTGTAGACTTGTGGACATGGTCCTGTAGCTCATGCCAGCCCTCAACTCTAACCAAAAGTCTATGTACTTTCTTTTTTTTTTATTGTAAAGATACTATACAGAAGGTTACAGTTACATGAGTAAGGTAATGAGTACACTTCCTATTGAGCATTGTTACCCCCTCCATTGCTTTCCCCTTACCATCTTTTCCCTCCCTACCTTCCCCGAGGTTCTTTTTTTTTTTTTTGATTGTGATTAAGTGATTACATAATTTCCCGAATTTCACAGTATTGTGGAATAATGATGTTCATTTAAAGTCACAAGTTCATTCTAACTTTCCTGGAGCAAATTGTCTATCACAGTCTATAACATATAACGGTGTTCACATGTTATACACCATACATGTGATCAGCAGCATGGGGATATTTAGTAGTGGTTCGACCAGATGAGTGGGAGTTCTTTGTTTCTTAAATCCTATTAGTTTTGTCATATCACCTAACATTTTGGATTTAGCATCCACTTATATCAGGGAGACCATGTACTGTTTGTCTCTTTGCTCTTGGCTTACCTCGCTCAACATGATTCCTTCTAGCTCCATCCATTTCCCTGCAAATGCCATTATTTTGTCATTTCTAATGGCTGCATAATATTCCATTGTGTATGGATACCACAATTTTTGGATCCATTCATCTGTGGTGGGGCATCTGGGTTGTTTCCATATCCTAGCTATTGCGAACAGTGCTGCAATAAACATGGAGGTGCACGTGTCCTTGTATATTGGTTCCTGTTGTTCAGGGTAGATGCCTAGAAGTGGTATGACTGGGTCATAAGGGAGGTCAATATTTAGCTTTCTAAGGACCCTCCAGATTGCTTTCCAAAGTGGTTGTATAAGTGTACATTCCCACCAGCAGTGTAATAGGGTTCCTCTTTCTCCACATCCCCTCCAGCATTTATTGTTGACTGATTTGTGGATGTGGGACATTCTGACTGGGGTAAGGTGGTATCTCAGGGTTGTCTTTATTTGCATTTCCTTCACCACCAGGGATGATGAACATTTCCTCATGTGTTTCTTTGCCATTTTTATTTCTTCATTTGAGAAGTCCCTCTTTAGTTCCCTTGCCTATTTAGTAATTGGTTTAAAAATATGGAACGCTTCACAAATTTGCATGTCATCCTTGTGCAAGGGCCATGCTAATCTTCTGTGTATCGTTCCAATTTTAGTATATGTGCTGCCGAAGCGAACACAAGTCTATGTACTTTCAAAGGAGCTTCCCCTGGAAAGTGCTCCCAGCTTGGTGGGAGTTAGTGGCCTAGTGTTTAATGCAATGCAATTTCAGAATTAAGAATTTGTCAGGTACCAGTGGCTCATGCCTATAACCCTAGCTATTCAGGAGGCTGAGATCTGAGGATTGAGGTTCAAAGCCAGCCCATGCAGGAAAGTCCATGAGATTCTTATCTCTAATTAGCCACCCCAAAAAATCTAGAAGTGAAGTTGTGACTCAAGTGGTAAAGCACCTTGAGAGAAAAAGCTCAGGGCAATGCCTAGGCCTTTAGTTCAAGCCCTAGGACCAGTGTGTACACACACATACAGACAATAGACATACATAGACAGACAGATACACACACACACACACACACACACACACAAGAAGTTATGGAAGAAACATAAAGAAAATTTAAATATTTTCTCCAGAATTTTTCAGGTCATATTTTTATACCTAAGAGTCCTAAATAAAATTAAATTTTTAAGCCTAAGTGTGCTAAATAAAATTAAATGATGTTGTAACTTGACTATTTCACTTTGGCATGTGGAAATACCAAGGAATTAGGAAGAACCAAATTGTAACAGTGGATTTTGAGTTTTACTTAGATTTCCTTTTACTAGTTTATTTTCCCCCATGGTCTATGCTTCCTCCTCTGTCATTTTGAACACATGGGAGTTTTCTCTTGGGATTATTTTTCTTTCTTGGCTTTGGTGTAAATAACGGGC